GGAACATTCCCAACTGAGTCAGGAGCCCCTAGACTAGTACCCAGTGCCCTTATTTTTTTGCCTGCCCAGCTCTCCGAGATCCTTACTGCCTTCTTGCACCAACCTCCTCTGACTCCGTGAGTGGGACCGAGACCCACCCAGAGCTGCAGCGCCTCCTTCCAAGGACCTCGGCCCACTTCCACCTTTCCCGCCGCTGCCAGAGTGCTTATGAACTTGGAGTCCAGGGCTTAGCAGCAGCGTCACTTGAACAAGGACCTCAGTTTCTTATTGAGTCCATAGCGATAAGTACTTCCTAGTAAGGTACATGGGCGTGCTGGTAGCATAATGGTTATACATTGGGCTGCTACCTGCAAGGTCAGCAGTTCAAATCCACCAGCTTCACTGCATGAAGAAAACCAAGGTTTTCTACTCTTGTAAAGAGTTACAATCTTAGAAACTCACGGGGGCATTTCTTCCCTGGCTTCGAGGGTCTCTGAGTTGTCATCAACTCAGTGTTGACTCAGTGGCAGTGAGTGGGCTTTTTGGTTCTTCAGGTACAAGGTAACCTAGATGCCAGGTCGTGGGAGTGGTGGCTATTGTAGTAAATAGTAGCCATGCCTGTTAGTAAGCCTGCACCCTCACTCACCCTGTTTCTGGGCGGGTGTCTAGAGCTCTGGTGCTGGTGGTTGATGGAATCTTACCGGCGTTCCTCAGTTGCAACTAGAGCACTGACGTGACGAAGGGTCGGGTTTGGTCATCAAGCTCCAAACACCAGCTTCTCCTGTGCGCCTGCCAGTCGGCTAAATGTTAATTGGTTCGGCACAGCCGGTTCCTTGGCTCGGTGTCCTGGTCGTGGGCATGTGGCTCAGCTGTTGTCTTAAGCCCTCCAGAAACACAAAGGAGAGCTTGGAAACCCCACACAAGCCTTCAGACTTGGGCGTTTTTTTTTTGTTTCCGGGTGTGGCCAGCCCACTTGTGCAGAGCGGCCTGGAATGTGGGTGTTGCCCAGCAGGAGACAAGGATCAGCATGGTCCTGGTCCCAGTCCCAGAGCCAGGTGCTCCTTCATGCCTGGGCGAGGCCGCCCGCCAGAGCCCTGGGAGTCGGAGCAACAGCAAGCTGAGTGTGACATCTGGGTCGCAGCCTTGCAGAAGAGGGGCTGGGAAACTCGGACACCCCTCCTGCCCATCTTGATTCCCCCGATCCTGGGTACCGAGGGCCCGCTGGGTGAGGGCTGGGCACCACCTGGGGCGTTGGTCAGGAGTCGACCTCCGTGGGTCTTGATGAAGGGTGTCTGGGAAGTAGTCTGTGGAGGACAGTGAAACTCCGGGGCAGACTCCAAGAGAGGGCTGGTTCTTGTCATGTTCCCCAGCCTGTCGTGGGTTCATGTGCAGACAGCACCGAACATCCCAGCTGTGATGCGGCCTTGCTGGGCGTTGACAGGGATGCCAGCCGCTCAGCCCCTGAACCCTCCTGACCGTTTAGCGGGTGTGGCCAGGCTGGGAGGAAGATGGCCAGAGCACTAGTCAAGCTGACGTGACCTTTTCCCCTGTGACCTGCAGCCGGCAGGGGCTGGAAAGCCCTCAGTTTCCCTACCCAGTCACAGGTAAGCGAGTGGGGACAGAGAACCAAGATGACCAGACCTGCTTTGTACGTGAAGCCTGGAGTCAGGGCCCAGGCTTCCACAGCTGACGGAAGTGGTTCACAGGCGCACAGAGCCACTGTCAGCCTCCCCACTGCCCTCTGGGTGTTCCCTCCCAGGGAGCCCCTGAGGCAAAATGCAGGGAACTGTCATCCATAATCCTTTTTGTCCCTGGAGAGCTTCGGGAAGCTTCCCCCCTGTGGGCTGGGGAAGGCTCCTCTCTGATTGAGGGGCTTCTGGCAAGTCCTAGAAGAGCCCTGCAAGGTCAGCAGTTCAAAACCACCAGCTGTTCTTGGGAGAAAGGGCTTTCTGCTCCCACTCAGAGTTACAGTCTTGGACTCTCACAGGCAGGTCCACCCTGTCCTACAGGGCCGCCAAGAGTTGGAATCAACTCGGCGGCCGTGAGTCGAGTGGGTGACTCAAAACTTCAGACATGCCCATGCTGAGATGGGCACAGAACTGCCCAGGCAGCCCGCGGCTCAGTGTGCTCGAGCTGCCCACTGTGAGAATGCCCTGACTGGTGCCCAGGCTTGCTGCTGACATGACGTAGGCGAGCCAGGGGTGCTGGTCTGGGCTGAACGACAGAGCAAGACCTCCTTGCCCCCTCAGGAGGGAGGTGGCCCGCCCAGAATTGGCAGAGGCATTGGAAGCTTAGGGCGAAGAAGTCCTTCCCACCAGGCCCACTTCCACTTCTGTGCCCCACCAGCCCCTGAGGAGGTATCTGCCCAGTCCTGCAGGCTGCTGTAGGAATGACTGGCCTTAGGAGCGGAGGAGCATGGCTACCTGATGTGCACCAAGGGAAAGGATGGGCGAATCCATTAGCCACTCCGAGGGAGGCAGTGCAGGAAGGGCGGACCCTCGAGTTGGGCAGCCCCGGCTGTGGATGCCACCCCCACCCTAGCCTGATGCCCCTCGCTGCTTTCTCCTCTCAGTGGCCGTAGATACAGCCCTGCAGGACGGCTCATCGGCCTCGGATGCAAAGCAATTGGTGTAGTTCTTGTTCACGTTGTTGGTGGTCACACATATGTCAGATGGGCTGACGGGAACTCGGGGGGCTGGATAGGAGGAGGAAGGGGGGACGCTGGCAGTCTGGTTTCAGGCTCTGCACACATGCAGGAGGACATGCTCGAAACCAATGGGCTGCTATCAGCAGGGACTTGGGGGCGTGGGGCCAAAGCTTTGCTGCGCAGCATCTCAGGGCCAGCGGTCTGGAGCCCTTGGGAGGCAAACGGTGCAGCCACTGCAAGCCTTTGGATGGCACAGGACAGAATGTGGCCCACAAAGAAGAGGGTTGGGACCACGGGGTTTCAGCTGGGTCTGAGTCTGTTGGAGTAAACATGTAGGACCTTCCAGAGACATACGAACTCTGCAGGGACCTGAAACGGCCATCAAGCCTATGCTGACTCTGATCCTACAGGACAGGGTAGAACTGCTGTTAAAAATCTTTATGGAGCAGACAGCCTCGTGTCTCCTGAGGAGTGGTTGGTAGGTTTGAACCACCAACCCTGGGGTTAGCCCAAGTAACCTCCTACTCCACCAGGGCTCCCAATGCTGTAAACGCTGTTGGGGGCCACTGTGTTTCAACGGGGCATGTGCACTGTGCTGGGTTCCAGGCAGGTTCCCTTAATGACCATGGAAGGAACCCAGGCTGGCTGGCTGGGGAAGGGTTTTCACGTGTCCTTTTCTTAGCCCCGCCCCCCCCACCTCACCCCCAGATCATTGAGCTCCACTGGGTCCTGCTGAGGAAGGGACCAGTCTTCCAGGGACCGTAGTACCCTGAGAGGTGCAAGGAGAAACTGGAGCAGGATTGAAGAGCTGCTGCTTAGTGACTGGAAAAGCCAGGCGCGATAGAGTGTAAAAACTTTATTCTCTTTAGTAACAGTAATATAACTCCACTAGAATTATACAAAGTACATTCAATACTTAAGGGGGGGCGGGGCCAGGAGGCGAGGGGAGCAATCTGGCTGGGAAGGAAGCCCAGCTGGGCTGGGGGAGTCAGGACAGAGGTCCAGTTGTAAAAAAGGAAAACTGTTTAAAAAGGCCACCCACGAGGGAGCAGGGTGAACGTGCACGGTCCAGGGGCGGGCGGCTCGGCTGGCATGCTGCTGCGGGTGGGCTGGTGCTCAGGCGAGCTCTGAGCGGGTGGGGGCCAGGTTCTGATGCTTGAAATACTGAACAACTTGCTGGGGCAGCTCTGCCAGCACGGCTTTGGCCAAGGTCTCTTTTGCCGCCTGTGGGGGGCAAGGGGAGAGAATCAAGGTTCATGGGGGTGGGATTGGGGTGCACTTGTGAAAAGGGGCTGAGGGCCAGGCAACCACACACCAGCAACCCCCACAGGGTGCCCTCCACGCGCTGGGTGTGCCTGGAGCCAGAGCCCTGGAGGAGGGGCTGGCCTGTGGGCTGCAAGCCACAGGGTTTACAAAGCTGCTGCTTACCTGTGCCAGCTGTGCTGCCAGAGCTGTCCCCCAAGAGTGGGGGGTGGAGACCAACACCCAACTTTGGTCATGAGGGAGCTACTGCTCTAGAGGACTGGATCAACTCACTTCTCACTGGGGTTCGCTCCCAGAACCCGAGCCGCAAGGGACACTCCTCACCCCCGAAGCCTGCCGCCAGCTGAGGCAGCACAGGGGCATCTGTGGCTGCTCCCTGCGCGGCCTGCTGGTGGGCAGACCTGAGTCAACTAAAGACCAGAACTGTGTCCTGAGAGGCCACCAATGGACCTGATGGGAAAGAGGAGCACCCTAAAGGGGGCCTTGTTGCCCTCTATGGAGGTGGTGCAGCCCCAGGAAAGCCCCTTGCCCCTCCTGTCTAGAATGTGCGCCCCCGTTAATGCTTTGGGGCCCAGCCTGTGTTCCGAACCACCCACCCGGGCCCACACTCACATTGCGGAACTCCCGGAAGGGCACGAACTGCACGATGTCGCGGGCAGCCTCCTCCCCCGTGTGGGAGCGCAGCCGGCGGCTGTCCCCGTCCAGGAATTCCATGGCCGCGAAGTCAGCGTTGCCCACGCCCACGATGATGATGGACATGGGCAGCTTGGATGCCTGCACCACGGCGTGCCGCGTCTCCTCCATGTCACTGATGACGCCGTCGGTGATGAGGAGGAGGATGAAGTACTGCTGCGTGGGAGGGCATGGCGGGCACTCAGCAGGAGACCCGTCTGCCCCAGCCCCTTCCCTGGCAGCCAGGGTCCTATGTCCCTGCAGGCCTGGCATCTGTCTCAACACTCTGGTCACAGCCTGGGGGGCACACACTGCCTCTTCCTCCTTCCCAGGTGTCACCTTTGACCGCCCCTGCTGCTCTGGACTCTGCACAGCAGACTTGGCTTGCTGGGCCTCAGTTTCTTCATCTGCAGGGTGAGAGCTGCAGCGAAGGCAGCATGCCTGGCATGTGACAGCAGCCCACTCAGCCCTGACCTCCAGGCCCTGGCTGGTGCAGTGGCTGCCAGCTACCTGGGCACAAATGCCGGGGACCCTGTCCACTCCCTACCCAGCGAGACCCGGCACATCCCGCTGAGGCTAAAGAGCAGGCCCTCTAGACCAGAATGGCAGGTCATGTACCCCACAGCCCCAAACACCAAGGAGCCATGGTGGAGGCAGTGTGGGCTGGGCTACAAAGTTCTTTCGGTTCTAAGAAGCAGAGACCCAGCGTCAGGTAACTGGATGGGGGTGTTTGTGGTCAAGCTTCGGGGTGGGGGTGGGGGGGCTTTGGATTTTCACTCCAACTTTCCTGCTTCTCAGAAGAGAAAACTGGGACCCAGACAAGCCCCCTCTTCCCTCAGCAAAACTATTTGTTCCCTGAAGGCTGGGCTCCAGGGTGCCTTCCTCCCTAGCCTGTCCCCTGAGTCCAGCCCTGCTCTGTGCCTTTAAGAGGCCAGTCTTGGCTGGGATACCTGTTGCCATGGTGATGGCAGCCTGAATCCCCACAGTGGAGGGCTGCTACTGCCAGCCCCCCATCCCTGAGCTAGGGAAGCCTCACAAGCCAATCCACCCCCACTGTCCAATCTTTCCAGCATCCTTTCCGTTAAGTGACCCTTTAGCCCACCCGACCCCACCAGAAACCTTTCAGGGCAGCACTTCTGGGCCACTGGACTGGTGGGCAGGAGGCCCTTAGGGGACTGGCAATGAGGAAGGAAGGGATGTTTGGCCTGGATCTCCTCCACCCTGCCCCTCGCAGTGGTGGAGCTTGACCCAGACCTGAGCTCCCACCTATCTACCCCACAGGGCCTGTGGCTCCTCAGCTCCCATCAAGATGAGACTTCTGGGAGGCTGGGTTCCTGCAGGACCTCAGGTCCCAAAACGAGGCACATACAGCAAGTGTCCATGCAGACACTGTCCCACCCAGGCCCAGCAACCAGGCTGGCTGGCAGACAGAATTGGAGCTGTCTCCACACCAGTCCTTCCCCGCAGCAATGGCCCCAGAGCCACTGCCTCGTGGGGCCTGAGGGCCACCATTGCAGCCGACCTGCCCTGGGCTTCTCACCCAGACTGGCAGAGCTGGGGGGCTATCCAGGAGCTTTGACCGCCTGTTACTACCCCAGAGCACCTCTGCCCACGTGTGTGGGAGCCCCCCGCCCCTTGCATCCAAGACAGGTCTGAGGGAGGCTGCAGGCCGGGTGGGCAGCTGCTCCAAACTGCTCAGTCCCAGGCTTTCCCATCCCCAAGCCCTCCTGCTCCCTTCCTCCTGCTAGCCCTTCCCAGCCACAACTCCAAGATCCACCTTAGGGCTCCATCCATCCTCTCCCAGCCACCAGCTCCGCTTCCCTTCCCAGGCCACTCCCTTAGTGTACAAAGCTGGTACCCAACAGCCTTCTAAGATGAAGCGGCTCTTGCCCTCGCCCAGGGCATCTTAGGGTCTAGCACTGTAGCCATGTCCCCTAATACCTCTCCTGTGATTCGATTGATAAGGAGTTGACTTTGCACCAACAGTTCCAGGCAGAGTCAGGTCAGTGACAGTGCCCTACCCCCCACTGGTTTCTGAGGAGCTGGTGGCCCAGGGCCCTGGAGAAGGGGGCATGGGCTGTCCCAGGGTCTCGGCTGCTTCCCCAGCACCCTTCCATTGGGAGACCAGCCTCCCAGGCAACTCGGCACAAAGGAGTCAGAGGATGGAGGCCCCAAACAGGATGTGTGCTGGCATTGCCCCTGGGTGGCTTCCCCCTGCCCCCGGGAAAACAGACTCCTCCCAGGGTCCATGAGTCTCCGTCAACTTTTTCAACCTCGCCCACCCCCACTCGAAGGAGCCCAGGGGGTGTAGTGCTGAAGCACTCAGATGCGGAACCAGAAGTCCACTGTCGGAACTGTTGCCCAGCTTGGCACCAGGAGAGAGAAGTGCCTCCCAGTGTGGAAGGCCCAGAGGGCAATGCCGCTCTACACTCTATGCACTGTGTCAGAATGAACTGGCTGGCCCCAGGCCTGTGTGAGAGGCCTGTGCTGGTCATTTGCCAGGCTCCCTCTGAGCCTCCAGCACATCTCCACTTGGATGGTGCTTTCCTATGAACCTCTCCCTGGCCAGCAAGTCACCTGCTGACTCCTAGTGTAGTGCACAGTGGTTACACCACAAGGCCAACAATTTGCCACCACCAGCTGCTCCTCAGGAGAAGGACAAGGGTGTGGTAGTTACATCATCTGCCGTCCATTTGAGACTATTGACCTCATTGGGAGGCATGGAGATTAGCCTGTGAATCAGGTCGGAGTTTGATGACCTCATTTGGAGGCGCTAAGGAGATAAATAGCTTGCAGGAGGAGGGACACATGTTCACTCCTTGGGAGACAAGACACAAGGAGCTATGCTAGAGCCACGTGGAGGCCTCCGTCCGTGCTGAAATGCTTCCACCCACTGGCCTGTGATCTTTCTTCCTACATTCAGCTTCATTGCGTGTGCTGCGTGAGTCAGAAGAATTTATAGACAGCTATCGGACAGATGGACTAATTGGATTTATGGACTTGGCCTGGGATGTTTTCTTAATGTACAATTGCTCTTTGACATAAAACTCTCCTAGGCACATATGAGCGTCTATGAATTTGTTTCTCTAGTCAACCGGACTAACACACACGGCTTCCTACTCCTGTAAAGAGCTGCGGTCTCAGGAACCCTCGGGCAGTTCTGTGTCCTGCAGGGACCAAGCCGGCCCTGACTGACCAGCAGGGAGCTGGGTGGGTGGAATGAGTCTCAGGACAGAGCGCGGCTGCCCTGAGGGTTTCTAGCGGTTCCCTGCCCAAGAACAGACCCCTAGGCCTTGCCCCCAGATCGGATCGTGGCACAGAATGTCGGGAAAGGGCAGGGACTTCCAGACACCCTCCTGGTCTGCCCAGGGCCCACGGCCCCCATCTTCTGCCCAGGTCCGTGCACCCACCTGTGCCTGCACCTGCAGCACCCAGTTACCTTCCGGCTCCTGGGCTTCCACCCACCCCAACCGTCCTCATCCCCCCCAGCCAAAGATGCAGGCTTTTCCCAGCTCAGTGGAGAGTGGGGGATGGGAAGGCTGGGGGTGGGGCTCCAGTGTAGAGTGGCCCCTCCACAACCCCTCCCCAAATTAACAATCTGTCCCCACCAACACCCATGTCCAATCTGGGTAACCCAGCCCATCTTCGCCTTCCCCACTGACACCACCACCCCACACTGCCTGCCTGCTGACCCCACCTCAGCCCCGCGTGTTCCATTCTGCTGCCTGGGTGAGAGGCCTAAACTCTGCGGTCTCACCCGGCAGGTCTCTGGGTGCCAAAGTCCCTGCCACTGAGTGGGTGCTGACTCACAGTGACCCTATAGGACAGGGTAGAACTGCCTCTGTGGGCTTCCAAGACTGTCACTCTTCATGGGAGTAGAGAGCCTCTTTCTCCTGTGGAGCAGCGGGTGGTTTCAAACTGCTGCCCTTGCAGTTAAGTGCCTGACACATAGCCACTACACCACCAGGGCTGCTCTCATTTCATCTTCATACCACTTCCCCACGGAGGGCCAGTGAGTGAGTGCTCCCACTGTGCTGATGGGGAAACGGAGGCTCTGTGACAGCTCAAGTCTTGCCATGAGGGAGGGGCAACAAGGGCAGGCTCTGCTGGCGGCTCTTCCTTGATGGTCCCAGGACTTTTCTCTCTCCCGCCCCCACCAGTCCCCAATCCTCCCCCCCCACACACACCTCCCTAGAAGCCCTGGCTCCTCAGTTCCCTTGCTTTACCTTCAGGCCCTCGTGACTGAGCCTTCCCTCCTGACTGAGCCAGAGCACAGCCACCTTGAATCCACCCATTCCCCGAGCCCGTGCCAGGTGGTTGGCACTTTGCGGGCAGTGTGACGTAGACACTTGGATCCAATGCTGGCCCCAGGTGGGCGGCGGGGCTGAAGCTGGGGTGGTGGGTGCAACAAACAGAGACACATGCACAAGGCGTTCCGGCCACCACCAGAGTCACGACCAAGCAGGGGTAGCCAGATAGGTGGTCAAGGGAGGCAGCATTTGAGGCAGGCACTGGGGTGGAAAGGCCCCGGGCACATGGAGAGTTGGGGGATGCCGGGCAGGGGGGACAGCAAGGCAAACAAAAACTGGGCAGCTGGGGCATTTGAGGGACAGGAAGCAGTGGGGGTGGGGTGGTGGTGGAAGGGGATTGTCCTAAGTCAGTGGTTCTCAGCCTCCCTAATACCGTGACCCTTACATACAGTTCCTCATGTGGTCGTGACCCCCCCCAAATATAAAATTATTTTCATTGCTACTTCATCACTGTAATTTGGCTACTGTTAGGAATCGGGTAACCCTTGTGAAAGGGTCACTCAACCCCAAAGGGGTCTCAACCCATAGGTTGAAAACCGCTGTCCCAAGTACAGGGGTGGAGGGGCTTTGGAGGGCTCAGTCTGGGCGTGGAGCTGATACTGGCTGGTACAGGGGCTCTCCCAGCAGGGAATGGGCGAGCGTGGCTGTAGGGAGCATTGTGGGGGCTGTGATGGGAGGAGTGGGCAGAGTTGGACCCTGGAGACGGGGGCAGGGCAGTCTGGAAGGGTTCCAATCTCACTGCAGCCCTCACCTTCGAGCAGAGGCAGGGCCTGCTCCCAGGTGCAAGCGGCCAAGGTGGGCAGGGGTCCCAGCCCAGCAGGGCTCCCGCTTCCCAGCCAAACCGACGGCAATGCAGTGAAGTGGGAAAAGGGCCAGAAGTGCCCCCTTTAGCAGATGCTCTGGCTCCTGAGTCCCCACCCCTTACCCCACCCCGCCCCCCAAGACTTCTGCCAAGTGTCTCCTGAGTGGTTTGGTCATTGAGTGCTGTCTGGTGTTTAGGGTCAGGAGAGGGCAGGGGGGATGGCCAGAGGCTTCACAGAAACAAGGTCACCACCCTAGGGCAGGGGGAAAAGACCCTTCAGCCCACTTTGCAGAGTGAAGTCAGGGGGGGCATGGTGGATGAAGTGGGCAAGGTGGCCTTTGGTGACCCTGACACTGGGTGTAGGCCCTGCCTGCAAGACCCACCTGCGGATTCAGCCTGGAGCTGATGGGGTAAGGACCCAGGGGTGCAGACCCACGTTCCAGATGCCCAGGCAGTCCCAGGCAGCTGGCCCACCATCCCAGCCTTGCTGGCCTGACTGAGTGGCAGCAGGCAGGGCCAGGGCCAGCTCGTTCTGCAGGGCAGCATGAGGGGTGGGGGGCAGCTCTGAGTGACGTCGGTGTGTGTGTGTGTGTGTGTGTGTGTGTCAGCTTCAGGGCTGCAGGAGTCACTTCTGGCCCATCTGTCATGGGCAGTTACAAATACTCTTGACCCTGAGGGAACATCCCCCATCACCATAGTCCCCTGTCCTGGTGAACTGCTCCAGCCCCCTTAGGATTCTTGCAGGTCAGCAAAGGACCAGAGACTCTCAAAGGAGAAGCAGAGAACCCTGCCCTGGGCGGCAGGAGGTGACCAGAAAGAAGAGACCCATAACCCTAGGCCTGGCCTGGTCCCCTGCTTACCGTGGCCGTCTGTTGCTGGGTGGCCTGGGCTGCAAACCGGGCCACGTGGTTGACGATCGGGGAGAAGTTGGTGGGACCGTAGAAGCGGATGTGGGGCAGGCAAGCCGAGTATGCCTGGGCGATGCCGTCCACACCTGTCTCAAGGAGAAGAGTCGGGGTCAGCCCAGTGGCCCCTGACCCCAAAGAGGCCATACCAGCCCCGCATGCCCTCCCATTCCAACTGCTGACACAGCGTCTATTTCCTGCTCAGGCCAGAAGCCCCTGCCCTGGCCAGCCTGGGGCCCAGGAGAGCAGAAGCGCCCAGTGGGCAGGGTCAGAGGAGGATGAAGCAAACAGCTTCCCAGCCACCCAGACCTGAGTTCAAATCCTGCCTCTGCCACCTTTTAGCATGTGGTTCACTCTCTCTCAACCTGAATTCCTCCATCGATGGGGCCAATAATAGCTGCTCTTGGGCAACTGGTAGGAGGGAGACCCAGGTACCCCACCTCCTCTCAGAGAGGGGGCTAAGCAGAGCCCATCCAGCTGCTTAGGAACAAAAGGAGACCCTGGGAGTTCCCGCTGGACCCTTCCTGTCTGAGTGATTGGGGGGTCCAATGAGACACTAGCACAGACCCTACACGCAGTCTCTGGACACTGTGGCTGTTATGAGGCTACAAATACCCCCCTGAACTTGGACGAAACATCTCTGGACCCCTGACCCAAAACAGACAGCCCCACCCGGTGGGAGCACAGGACCACACCTCCAGTCAACCCAGACCCAGGTCTCCGTGTCAAAGCATCGCCCCTGAGCTTGGGATTAGCTAAATTTCCCTTCTGAGCACAAAGCTGGCTCAGCTTTGGGGATCCTAGGGAAGTAGACAGACAGACAGACACACACACACACCACCCTACCCCTCTCCAAATCATCAACAATCCCAAAGAGGCAAAAGCATGGCCCAGAGCGGGGCGGGGGCCTGTCCACGGTCTTGTGATGGGTGCCCTTGTCCACACCTGCCCTGGGTCCCCTCCCCTTCCTCCAATCACTTCTGAATTGTTTCTAGAAGGCTCAGAAATCCTTGGGTTCGGGGCTGGAAGGGCACAGATTCCATGCCTACTTCCTAGTCACCACCCACCCACCCCCGCCCCGCCCCAGGCTTCCTTCACTTCTTCCTGATGAGCCAGGGGCAGGAAGGCTCTTTGTGGAAGGAGGGGAACGAGTAGGGTACGGAGGGAGAAGAGGAGAGGCAGACTGCAAGGGGAGTCACATAAGGGGAAGGACGGCCCCACCACTTCCACACCCCCACGGGGCTCCCTGTCCTTCCCATCCCGACACCCCTGCAGGTAAGCTGGGCAGGTGTCATGCCTCCCTGGAGGTGCAGCAGCCAAGGCCTCCAGAGGAGCAGTGACCGTGCCAAGGTCCCACAACCCTGAGAGGGCTGGGAGCCCAGGGCTGTCTGGTGGTGCCAGGCGTGCTGAGAGAGTGTGAGGGGGAAGGGACAGGAACCTGTACGCACCCCCGCCCCCATCCTCTCACTCCAGTGAGGGCCCAAGTGGTGTGAGCCCAGGGCAGGTGCTCTTGGCACTCACCTGAGCAGAAGGGGTTGGTGGGGTTGAAGTTGATGGCAAACTCATGCGAGACCTGAAATGCAGAGAAAATGCTGGGCGGGCTGCCTCCTACCCACCACACCTGGACCCAGCTTCTCACCCAACCGGAAGGTCTCCTGAGGGTGCCTGGCGCTCCCCACACGTCAGGCCGCTTCAACATCTGCTTTGTTGACCTCCTGAGGGTCAGACACACAGGCAGCCCTAAACATCCCCTCCCAGTTCAGAGAAGCCTCCACGTGGAGCCCCCGAGTGGCCCTGATGTCACGGTGCAGGGTGCCCCTGTCAGAGGGCCCCTGCTCTGGGCCTGAAGGATGACAGGCCACACTGGGCCAGTGACAACTTGCCCCAAGTGGGGCGGGGAGACAGGGTGTCAGTGGGACCAGGGCCATAACGGCCCTCCCAGGGGACGATGACGCTGCCTCTCTGCCTCCAGCTCCCCACTCCAGCACGTGTCCCAGATTGGTCTCAGCTCACACTCTGGGTGGGCTGGGCCAGTGGCTGCCAGGTGGTGAGGTTCACCGGGCCCAGAACCCAGGGGCAGGACCGGTGACTGAACCTGTTCTGGGCTGTGGCAGGACTTTGGAGGCTATAGGACTCAGGGCCTTAGGACAGTCAAAGAGCTCTAAGAGGGGGCTCAGACAGAGCACCCCCCCATACCTTCTAAACTCCCACCCAGAACCCTCTTGCTGCATGTCCCACACCCAGGCTCGGAGCTCCACGGTCAAGTCCACACTCCTTCTGCCCTGTGGGACACATTCACAGCTAAGGAAACTGAGGCTGGAGGTGGACCGGAGTTTTCCCAGGACCTCGCTGCGACAGAGGTGACCCACCAACTGCAGAAGGGGTTCCTGGCCCCTAGGTCTTAAAGGAAAGGTTCCAAGGGCGACCAGGGGGCAGGGCTGTTGGTCTGTGCACTGGGGGAGACAGACCCATTAGCTCTGAGCTGCCGCAGTGGGGGTGCTGGAAGGCCCCATGAGTCCAGGCCTCTATGGTGAGGAAGAACAAACCCAGCCCCTCCCCCCGCCCGCCCCCCCCAGGAGAAGCCACGTGCCAGAGTCCCCTAGCCAAGCCCCAACCTCACCAGGAGCTGGACACTGGCCTTCCTGAGCCTCCCAGGGACAAGACTCAGCCCCAGGTGGTCCCCATACTGCCCTGGGCCTGGTAGCCTGGGGGCCTGGGCAAGGAGACCACCCCTCCCTGCCCTGGCCCCACTTGCCTTGGCGGGGGAGGGGTGGAGGAATGGGTTTTGGGCTCTTTTCCTGGCATGGAGCCGGACCAGGATGTTCTCTTGGGACCTGTCCCTTTCCAGGGGACTCTCCACCCTGTCCCCCAGACTGGGCCCCAGGTGTGGGGGCCTGAGGTCATCATTGCCATGGAAACTTGATGAGCCTCTATAGAGATTGGGGGGGGGGGAGGCTTGTATGGAGGGGCTGAGAGAAAATGGTTGCCAGGGAAACAGGCTCCCTTAGGCCAATGACTTCCCCCAAATCAGATTTTAGAGTTTAGGGATGGGGTGGGGAGCCCTCTCCTAATACACATGGATTAAAATTCTGTCTTCCCATCCACCATCATCTTCATTGGGCCTTCCCCCACCCCCCCCACCCCTCTTTGGGAGAGAGTCTGGCCCCCGGGCTCAGGAGGGTGGGGCCTGAGCGTGGCTTCCTTTGGCAGCTCCATCTCACAGGTGGAAAGACTGAGGCTCAAAGGGGGCCTGGGAGTGCCTGGACCACGCGTGAGCCACTGCCGAGCCTGAACAGACCCTGGAGGGCAGGTTGCCCATGCTGCCTGGCCACCACCCGGCATCTGCCCTGGCATGCCAGCGAAACACCAGCCAGCCTCCCGGCAGCCACACCAAGCTGATTAGGGTTCCCTGGGGACCCGCTGGCCACCACTCCTTGTCCTCTGACCATCGGTGTCCAAGGTGACCCTACCTGGCTGGGCCCCCCAGTCCTGCGGTGAGTCACTTGGCTCCCAGGGCCACTGGCTGGGGTGGGGTAGGGGAGGGAGGATGTGGGAGCCACAAGAATCTCAGTTTCCCCATCTATAGAGTGGGGACAGTCACAAGCTAAGTTCTTCCCACCCCGACCCCTTGCCCATCTGTTGCTTCTGCCTGGATTACCCCTTCACCTGATGAACTCTCAGCCCCACCCTCCCCCACGCCCCCCCCCACGCCCCCCGAGAAAACCCTCCTAGGTCCCAGCCATCAGGAGGGCCAGGCCCCTTCCCGTTCTGCACCCTCAGACTAGCCACACCCAGTCTGCTCAGGAGGCTGAGCCAGCTCGCAAGCACGTTCTGTCCACCTCCTGGACATGGGCGGACATCAGGATGCCCAGGAGGGAGGTGGCAGTGGTGGACCAACAGGTAAAGGAGGTGCAGGGGGTGGTGTGATGAGCCACCTTTATGGGTTTTTTCCTCGCCTTTGTCTGGCAACCATGTAAATAAGGGGTTTGTGGTCCACAGGAAGGACTGGATTGCCCGCTCAGAATGCAAATACGGTTCAAGGAACCCCTTTGTGGGGATGAGACCATGCAGAGAAGGCCTATTGCATTTCAGTAAGGGGATCAGTCAACTTTGTCATCCTGCTAGACTTAAAAGAAGTCATCCCAGAGGTGGAAAGAGGGTAACCTCGCTACCTCCAACAACAGCCAGGTGAGGAGAGGGCCCTTTGGACCCAGGGTTCTTGTGCTGAGAACCTCTCGGACCCGGGAGACAGCACAAGATGATGAGAAGCAGTGGCGGGGCCTGACAGGAGAACCAGGAGCCAAGCAGGAGGTGAAGAGTGGGCTTTCTGGTCTGCATAGTAGGGTGAGGTTTACAGGTGGAGGGTGGTGCTGCCAGACAATGGTGTGCCGAGCTGAAGAACCTTAGAGCACTTGCCTGAGCTGGAGCCAAGGGCCAGAGAGGCCTGCCTGTGAAAACGCTGTCCTGCCTGCAGAACTGTATTCTGATCCTTCCTGAACCTGGCTTGTAACTTGTTACTTCCTGAGCCTGAGTTCCCCATGAGAGGTTGCACGCCCTGGACGCCCCTGTCAGAACGGGTAGTGAAGGCTATCTGACAGCCTTGGGCTTCTGATAGAGATGGCCTGGATTCAACCCCACCCCCACCGGCCCATATGACAGTAACTGAACCCTAAGCTCGGAGAGGAAAGTGCAGGTAAGGGGTGCCGAGAAGTCCCCCCCCCCCCCCCCGAGTGGGGAGCTCTCCACTGAGGCGCTAGAAGCTGAGCAAGAAAGGCAGGGGCAGGACGGGTGTAACAGGTAGCAGAGGCCAAGGCAGGGCTGGGGAGTGGGGCACAGGCGGAGAAGGGGGCTGAGGGGCCGAGCAGGAGCAGGGTAGGCTATGGGGCAGAGGGGGTGGGGGCCTCAGCATCCCCCCAGGCAGTGCCCAGCACTCCGCCTGTCCAGCCAGGGCTGGCCTCCCTAGAGTTGTCTGGTGACATTTCCAAGGAGGCTTCTGCACAAGAAAACATCTCTTTCAGTTCTTTGAAAGCTGGCTGGTGTCCTAGCAACAGGCTCATGCTGGGCCTGGCTCATCAGCCTGCCCCGCCCCCACCTGGCATCTTCCTGTCTGCCCAGAGCCCCAGCCCGGGGACTGGACTGCTGGGACACGCCTCTCCCAGCCTGGCCCCAGAGCTGCTCCTGGAGCTCCCCAAGAAGCCCACCCTCTCCAGAGAGGGCAGGAGAGAAGGCGCCCGCCATGAGGCTGCCGGGGGCGCCTGTGTCTGCACCCCGCAGGCTGTTCCTAGGGAGGCCGAGACCCTGAGAAGAAACTTGGAGTCCACCTGCTTGCCAGGGCTGGAAGCCAGGCTCCCTCATAGCCGGAGCACGTGCAAGTCTCTGCCCAGCTCCCAGCCCGAACTTTCACCTGTCACCGTGGACAGATGCCTTCCCGCTCAGCTGCAGGGTCTCACTGCCTCCTCCCACCCCTGCCCCAGCGCCCCTGCTCCAACATCTCTGCCTCCCCAAATATTTACCCCAACTGGGCTCCCCAGCCTCCCTACCCGCCCCTCTCCTCACCTGGAGCTTCCTCGCCTGGCCCCTTCCCAGCATCCTTTGGCCTGCTAGACCTGCTTCCTCCTGTTCCCCACACCCTGACACTCCCCCCTGGGAGTCTCCCACCCGGTCACCTCTTGCCAGGATGACTCTCAGGCCTCACCTCGCCAGCCTGCAGGCAGCTGGGACCTGGTAACCACACCTCACCACAATGACCCCTCACAAGTAACACCTGGTGAGAATCCAGTCAAGCTGGGAAAGCAGAGGCAGCTGCGTCCAGAATCTCCTAAAGGAGCCAGTACATTCGTTGTGTTCCTGGGCTCCCTTGGGCTCAGTCTCCATCTGCTGCCCAGCTCTTACCTACGCCTGTTTCTCATGCCGCCCAGAGTGTCTGCACTCCAGGCCCTGGCCAAGGCCCAGGAGGCTGGGTCTGCACCCCTCTCCCCCCTCTCATCATCTCCCCTGCCCAGCCAACTCGCACCTGGTTCCTCATCTCAGTGCAAAACGCTACCCTGCATTTCAGTAGCCCACCGGAAGTCTGGATGTCTGCTTGGCCCACATCCACTTGGTCATCTAGCCAGTCCTGCCTCCTGCCCAAGCCTTCCTGTCGCCGCCCTCTGCTCCCCCCATTTCCCACTGGGCTACAGTAGCTCTCACCTAAAGCCTGGGACAACCAAAGTGGGCTCTGTCCTGCCCATTCCCCATCCTGGGCAGTCCCTGCTCTGAAGCCAGACTGGATCTTCAAAGATCCCAGCCTAGTGAGCAGCCACCCAAGGGCTCTCCCCAGCTCAGCAAAGGAGAATATGGAGAAAATGGCAGCTACGTGGAGGCAATGCGCCCAAAGGCTAATGGGCCATGTGAACCACAGTGTCCGCCACCCTGAGACCAGAAGAACGACAGGGTGCCCAGCGACCATGACCACCACCTCTGAAAGGCCTCCCTTAGAAAGCCCGACAGAGAGTAGTAGATAAAGGTGGGAAGAATTCAAGAGCATTAAAAGGACGAGGCTTATCGACTCGATAGATAGGTGGAGCTCCCAAGTCACTTACCGCTGTGGGTTTGATTTCCAGTCTACAAAGCAATGATAATGTCAGGGAGCCAGGATGGGGTAGGGGGTTGTCCCTCCCATGCCTGCGAAGGCCCCCATAAGGGGGATTGGGAAGGGTTTGGGAGAGCAATACGCGCCCATGAAGACCCCGAACTGGGCATGCTCCAATTCAGGCTCCAGAGCCACGTGGGCGGTACACCTGGTTGGCCCAAACTAGACCCAGGTGGACTTAATTCAGCCAATGGGGTCAACCAAGACCTTTAACCACGCCTCCCTGGCCGGAGGTTTGAAATACTCTGGCACCGTCTCTTTTACCAGCATCCCCTACCCCATATACCACACACCCACACACCCACTCCCAGTCAGTGGCAGGTCAGAGAGGATTCTCTCTTCTCTCTTACTCTGCTCCCGCACCCACTCGTGCCGTGCCGTGCCCTCTCTGGCCTCAGTTCCTCACGTGTGGGCACACAGTCCCACAAGGTTACCCGTGTTCAGTTGTGAGCCCCAGCTCGGTATCGGTGCAGCTCGGCACACTTCCCTGAAATAGCGTGTCCTCTTGAGACTGTACAACCTGAAACATCCCATCCTTCATAAAAACTCACTTGGGTCAAAACCAGGCTTCAGATGAATTCTTTCTCCATGAGAAGCCAAGAACTGAGATACGACCTGCTCGAGAATCCTACAATAACACCAGGGAGGTACACACACTTTTGAACAGCGGTTCTCAACCTGCGGGTCGTGACCCCTTTGGGGTCGCACGACCCTTTGACAGGGGCAACCCAATTCATAACAGTAGCAAAATTACACTTATGAAGTAGCAACGAAAATAATGTTATGGTTGGGGGTCCCCACAACATGAGGATCTGTCTGAAAGGGTCACGGCATGAGGAAGGTTGAGAACCATTGCCTTAGAATAACCAACCGCGTGAGATTAGAAGTTCAGAAAGGTTCAACAAGAAAAGGAAAACAGGAGGCAGTGGGGTCAGGGACGTGACATTGTGGGGGCTGCAGTCAAGGACATGAAACAAAATGTGTGCAAATTGTTGGACAGAAAATGGATTTGCCCTGTAAGCCCTCACCCAATTCCCAATGAAGAGCTTTTTGCAAAAGGCTGATTGGACTTTGACAATGGTCGTACCCCCAGCAGTGGCTCCCCAGGTGCTTCTGAGATCCCTCACGCTTCTCTGGCTACCTCTCTCTTCATCCTTCCACCCAGAGCCTGTCAAGCCTCCTGCCTTCAGTGTCTCCAACTCGCCCTGCATCCCTTCTCTCGGCACCCTCCCCTCTCCCCTGGTCCCTCTGCAAAGTCCACCTTTACCCTTCTCAGCCCAGAGGACACTGCCTGGTTTTAGGGTTTCCAGAGAGAATACAGGGTGTCCCATTAGTTTTGAAGTTCAGATAAACAGCGGATACGGTTTTGTTTTTAAAGTAAGTTATGTCCCGCACAGTATTTGGTACATACTTATGCTGAAAAAAAACAACAACCCCAATTCATTATTTCTCTAAAAGTCAAATTTGGAATTTGGGTTTCCTGTATCTTAATTGCAGGAGAAAGACCGGGTTTTCTACAGGGGCAGCTCCACCCTGTCTTATAGGGTTGCGATGAGTCAGCACCGACTCGGTGCTGCGTTTGGGCTTTGGTATTTTATTTGCTGATAAATCTGGCAGCCCTACCTGTCTTCCCCCACCGGACACGGCTCCCGGGGAGCAGAGGCCACCAGCCCTCCAGCTCTTGCTGCTACAGGCCAACGCCGGCATGAGGTTCAGGGCGAGGAGCATGGTTTGGCGGTGAAGAAGAGAAGGCAGTGTGCAGGGGCCTCCAGCCTGGGGTCTTTGGGAAGCGGGTCTCAGAGAGGCCCCACTCAACCCCTACCCTCTAAAGCAAGAGAAAGCGAGTCCACCTCACTTACCTTCCAGTCTGGGGGTAGCTGGGCTCCAAACCCCAGCGCGGGAAACATCTTATCACTAATCAGAAGAGAACAAAACACCATCAGACAATGCACCAGAGCCTCCACCTGCCCACCCTGATCTCCCCCAACTGCCTAGTCAGGAGGGGGTACGGGCTGGACCTTGTATATTTCAAAGGCAGAGAACGCATCACTTCTGGGAGAAGCTCCTTGACAATGATCTCTTGAGCCCCAACCCATCTCTGAATATTTAACTACATTCACAGCAGACACTGTTAATCAACCACAGCACCAGGCACTGCTAATTCACCGCAGCACGTCTATCTAACGGGCCTGGGTGTAGCTTCTCTTTTCATGGGAACCCAGAAGGCCTGCTTACATGCTCCCATGGCTCCTGCCTCAGCACATGTAAACTGGTCACAAAATTCCAGGCATTTCTCCCCTATGACAACTGGACCCACAGGTAACACCACAATCAGTGGAGAAGAGACAAGCTGTCAAGTAGTTTGTCTGGCTGGGATCCACCATCCAGGCTCACGAAGCATCCGTCAGGAGATCACCCGATGTGTTGAACTGGGCCAATCTACTGAACCAGAACTCTGTCGCGTGTTGAAAGTAGGGAGGTCACTCTGAGAACTAAGGCACACCTGGCCCAGGCCACAGTCTTTCCAGTGGTCTCGTGTGCATCTGTGAAGGCTGGACACCGAACACGGAAGACTGAAGAAGAACGGATGTGCTTGGAGGGCGGTGCCGGAGCCGACGCTGGAAAGTACCTGGACCGCCACAAGGAGACACTGATCTGTCTTGGGAGAAGTACGGCCGAGTGCTCCCGAGGCAAGGATGGTAGGACTTCGTCTTATGTAGTGTGAACTTGGCAGGAGAGATCAGGCCCTGAAGAAGGGCATCCGCAGGCCATCGCGCTTGGTAAAGTGGAGGGCCAGCGAAAAGGAGGACGGCTCTCGAGGAGATGGGTGGAGACAGAGGCTGCAACAATGGGCTCAGGCATAGGAACAATGGGGGGCTGGCGCAGTGCCAGGTCGTGTTTTGTTCTGCGTGCACGGGCTGTGATAGGTCGGAAGACACTCGATGGTATCCAACCATAACAGTCTTCCCACTCAAGGGGGACCTTCCTGAGAGCAGAGGCCACGTCGCAGCTGGTCATTCACCCAGCATATCTGTATGGAGGGTTCACCCACGGGGTGTCCATGAAGCACAAGCTGAGGGGGCATCTGGGAGGGGGCTCCTGGAATCACCTGGATAGTTGTGATGGCGGCTCATCCCAGGGTGCTAGCAGTCAGGGCGGGAGAAGAGGTGGAATTCAAGGATCTTTTGCAAGGGCGTTAGGACAGAGGATGTGGGATAGGAGGGAATGAATGAAGTGGTTTGGGGTGACTGGGAAGCCCTCTTTGAGATGACAGAGAGGAGCAGGACTGGATTTGGGGTGTCCACAGTCCTCTGTGGCTTGCTAAGTGTGTGTGTGTGTGTGTGTGTGTGTGTGTCCATCAAAGAGCTCACTGCAAGACTTGAGTGGGGAGTTGGAATCAACAAAATCAGGCTCTTCAATCAGACCACCCCAGAGGGGAGAGAGACTTCCACCTCCCTCGCTGTGAACACCATATCTCTCTTGATGTGACCTGGATTCACGATCAACCCTTAAGGCCCGAGTGGGAGTGAGAGACCAGCCATGCCCAGTGCTCCCTGAGCCCGCCCTTATCCCTGCCAAGACCCTGTATCCACCCGCTCCTTCTTCCCAGTGTGCTGGTGTCCTGGTGCCCAGTGATCTGGAGCCTCCAGCACAGGGACATCTGTGACCGTGAGGCTGCAGCCCTCCTTCCCCCAAGGCCCTCCTGAACTTTGCCTTGCCCTCCTGGTGGTGGTCACACCTGCTGTCCTCACGGCTTCCCTTTGCCGGCTGTCCACAGCACCACCCCACCAACAACACCCAGGGCTCACACAGACCCTCTGCAAAGGCATGAGACTGTTTGGCCACTTAGTTCGGGGTCCAGAAATCACGGGGTCAGGTTCCCATTCCCCTGACCTGTGTGACTTTGGATAAACTCCCCACCTTCAACCCAGCCCTCCATCCTCCCAGCTCTTTTTAAAAGGGGGTGAATGGGGACAGTCCTGGCAAATAGGTTTCCTCCGCCATCCTGCCCCATTGCTCAGTGGCTATTGTGTGCGGAAAGACTCCTGCCGATTCGGTGGCGAAGAGCACAGCAATCGATTAGCAATGTCTGCCGAGGCACTCAAACCCTCTCACTCCACCCTAACTCGTAGCGACCCTAACTGTGGACGGGAGTGGAAGGCCCAGTCCTTCTCCAGAGGAGCTGCTGTTGGTTTCGAACTGCTCCTGGGGAGCAGGCCTGGATTGGGTGATCTCTGACTCCATCTCTATGGGGGGGAGTGGAGCCCCCGCAGCCCCTCTGAAGTCGCACCTGTCGTAGTCCTGAATAATCTGGCCGACGGCCCAGATGGCTGACAGGTACTCATTGGTGCCCATGGGGTTGATGTAGTGCAAGGAGGAAGGGTCCAGGGGGTTCCCGTTGGAGGCTGTGAAGTCGATCCCCACCTGGGAAGGGAGAATACAGCTGTTGTCACCCACCAGCCAGAACAGACCATCCCAGTGGGGCCCAAGGAGGGAGCTTCCACAGATGCGCACGGCCTCCTCTTCTCCCCAGGGAGCAGCTGATGGGTTTGAACCGCTGACCTTTGGCTGGCAGCTCAGTACTCCACCACTGTACCAACAGGCTCCCTGCCACCTGCAGAGGGGCCTGCGGTGCCCCTTGGCACAAGGAAGCAAACAGAGGTGCAGGGAGGAGGACTGTGAGGCGTACACTTCAGCCAGCGTCACTACATGCTCTTTTCAGCATGTGTTACCGGGCACTGGTTGTGGGCCAGGCGCTGGGCAGCAGGCTGAGGTTAAGCAGGAACAGAAGGCCAAGCCCCTGCCTTTATTTATGCATTCACAGGCTAGTGGTGGGACAGGCCAAAAACTACCTAAGATCGTCTCAGAGTGGCAAGTGCCACGAGGCTATTAAACTAGGGAGGTGTGGCAAAGAGGAGTGGACTAGGGGCGGGGTGCATCATGGAAGGCTCCCTGAGGAGGTGACATCTGTAGCAAGGCCTAGAAGGATGGGGAGGAGGCAGTTCTAGGAAGAGCATTCCCGGAGCAGCAAATGCCACGGAGCCATAAGGTGGAGCCGAGCCAGATGTGTCTGGGGTGGAGCAAGGCCGTCCATGTCACTGGGAGATGAGTGAGCAGGGGGACAGCAAATGTGGCAGGCAAGGGACTGAACACAGGGTGGGGGGAGGTGGGGGGCTACAAGGGAATTTGGTGCCTTTCACACTGAAGGAATGCAGTCATCTGATCCTCTGGGGCTGGGCAGCTGAGCCCTGACTCAGGCCTGTCCTGCAGAAGCAAACACCTCTGCCTTCTCCCTTGCCCCGGAGGAAGTCCTTCCTGTTGTCTATCCCAGGTCCTTCCTGCTGTAGTGCAGTTGTGGTCACCTCCCCCAGGGAAGATGCAGGCTGGGGTAGGAGTTGGGGAGTGAGGAGAAAACCTTACAGTGAACATGAGTTGGCAGCCTCCCAGGATGTAGTCCAGGAAGGAGTAGTCCCGATTTATCTGGAAGAAATCAAGGGAGACAGGGGGTCTTTAGTAATGATAATGATTATTAATTAACTGACATTCCTATCTATTCTCCCAGCCTGTGTCTGGCTCTTGCCCCCTCTATACATGATCTGAAGGAAGTTGCTGCTTTGTGACCTTCCGTTGGGGGGCCAAGGAGGCAAAATGAAACCAAAAAAACCCTGCTTAATTTTAAAACTCAAAGAATCCACTGCCCCTTGAGTCAATCCCGACTCGCAGGGACCCGGCAGGACAGGGTGGAACTGCCTTTGTGGGTTTCTGAGACTGAAACTCTTTACGGGAGCAGGAAGCCTCATCTTCTCCCTGCGGAGTGTCTGGTGGTTTTGAACTTCTGACCTTGCACTTAGCAGCCCAATGGGTAACCACTGCACCAGCAGGGCTCCTACCAATTACACCACCACCAAACCTCTTGATAGCAAAGTCCTCAGGGCAGAGACCCCTAACGGGCAGTATACACAGGAGAGGGACACACACACACACACACACACACACACTCCAAGTGGGAACCCAGGACCCACTGACAATGACCCAAAACTCCAAAGCACACCCATTGCCATTGCGTTGAATTCCAACTCACAGTGACCCATTTGGTTTCTCAGGTGGTCACCCTCTGTGGAAGCAAATGGCCACACTTTCTCCCTCACAGTGGCTCTGGGTTCAAACCGCTGACCTTGACCATGTAACCACCACACTACCCAAGTATATCCACAGATGTTAGGATAGAGAAAGGCTGTCTGTGGCCACTGTGTCCGTATCACCTCTCTAGGTCTTACTAAGCTCTCATCTTCACAGAGAAAACAGAAAAGAATGTAAGTTAATTAATAAGCATTATTATTAATAAAATGGCTACAGCACTCTCTGTTCTGATGCTCTCTTTGACAAGATGACCAGAAAGTCTCATCTTTCTCCTAAGGAGTGACAGGTGGATCTGAACTGCTGATCCTGTGGTTGGCAGCCCAACACGACGTCCCCAGGGCCCCTTGAAACACCAAGGGCCCTTACATCAGGATGCTGTGAGCTGATGACACCATCTCTCGGGGGGCCCTTTGGGGCTGTGGCCTCACTGAGTCCTGGAGATGCTGGCTGAGGAAATGGAAGCCTGGGCCTGGGGGCCGGGACCCTCCCACCCTCCCCACCCAAGGCCAGGGCTCAGTCGCCCTGGCCCAGACTGCCCCTCAGTGTCACAGCAGACACACTCAGCCCCGGCCTGCGGAGCTGCGAGTGTGAGCCCCATGGCTCTCTGGGTTTCGGTGGCCCAGGCTGTGCCCTGGAGGGGAGTCCCCTGAGCCCCTTGGTGGTGGTGCTCATGGGAAACGGGGTCTCTCCTACAGGGAGAGGTCCTGGACGGTCAGCCCTTCCTCAACCACGCGGGGTGTCATGGGAGACGAGACCTGCTCACGCTTTGCCTGGTTCACCCCACATTCTACAGAAGGGGCTCCTGCTGAGATCCAGAGAGGCCGCAGAGCCAGGACCAGTGGGGCAGGGCTCTGCACCCTGGGCTCCTCTACCCACTGTCCAGGGTGCCTCCCTGAGGGACCCCAAGCCTGAGCCGCCCCCTCTGTGCCCAGCACACCCACCTTGCAGGAACGCAGGATGATGATACCCGAGTTTTTATAGTTCTTCTTCTTCCTCTGCTTCTTGGGGTTAATGCACTCAAACTCGAGCTGGACAATGTGGGACGAGAAAGACCAGCTCCGCTTGGACCAGCGCAGAGCCTCTGAGTCCCAGCGTCTGTCCCCCGCCCCTTGGTTGGACGTGGGGGCAGCATGCCTCCTCTAGGAAGCCCTCCTGGATCCCACACCCAGAAACTGTTCCAGAGGTCTCAGGCTTCCACCAAAAGCTGCCCCTGTCTCTGAAGACAACACTCCCCTGCCAGGGTCCCACTTCGAGGGCTTGCTATCTGCTGGGCCCTCCCCTTGCTTCTTCCATCCCCACCCACTGGACAGATGTGGAAACGGAGGCTCCCAGACGTGGTGTCTCAGTCTGCCCGACGGGGACCCGGCTCCCTGTCCCAGCCCTGGCTGGGGTGACGGGGTCATGGGCCACCCGCCCATCTCACCGGGACGCCGTCACGAGCCGCACACATCTGTGACACGGAGGTCTGGAACTCGCCGATGAAGTCATGGCCCCCGTCGTTGTCATAGTCGTAGCACATGACCTGGGGCAGGGCCAGAGAGGTCGCCCCAGGGTTGCTCCGCAAACAGATGCTTCCCAGCCCCTACATCTTTTTTGGGGGGAGGGAGGATCCTCCCTCTTCCCACAGCACCTGACCACCTCCTGCGGGAAGTGATCTGTGACCTCCGGAAGAGCCAGTTGTTCGCCCCAGGAAGGGCACCTCACCGCTCACCCTGGCCCTCAGGTCTCAGGTTACGAGACCCAAGACCCCCTGGGGTCTCCATACTGCTGCCTGTCTTGTTTTTCTTCGGAGACAACTGCCACAGCATGCCGGGAGGGAGGTGACCATACCGTGCCCGCTCCACTAGACGCCCGTGCCCTGCCTGGGGATGCCAGCTCTGACCCAGCTGCCTCCCTGCCCCGCTGCACCCCGTCACCCAGTCCCTATGTCCCTCTCACAGCGAGCACATCAGGCTCCTTTCCAACACGGGCCGAGCTGAGCTCATGACTCCAGCCCACTCCAGCCTGCATCACACAGAGCCCCTGGGAGGGGCCGGGCAGCCATCCTGCCATTCAGAGGGCCAGGCAGACCTAGGGCCTCTGGGGAGACAGTGGGCTCTCTGTTCATGTCACCCTGAACCTTCCTGACCAATAGTATTGACAATGCCCTCTCCCCCAGGAAACCTGCAGTGGACTGGAGGCTGGCAGGGGCAGGGCGGGGAGTCCCCTCACCTGGATGGGCTTCTCCATGTCCCCATCACACAGGGACACCAGAGGCACAGTGAAAGGTTTCCACACAGGGTCCAGCGTGTACTTGATCACCTGCGGGCCGATGAGGGCAGAGGTGGGCTGGGCCCAGGGAGTGCCATGCGCTGGGTCATAGGGACCCCCCCACCCCGCTGCCATCAGGTTGATTTTGACTCAGAGAGACTCCAGAGGGCAGAGTGGAGCTGCCCCTGTGGGTTTCCAAAGAGGTACATCTTTACAGGCCCAGGAAGTCTCCTCTTTCTCCGCGGAGTGGTTGGTAGGTTTGAACCACCGACCTTGAGGTTAGCAGTCCAGCATGGCACTCATTCTGCCACCAGGACACCCTCCTGACAGAGTCGGTGGTGGTGAGGGGTAACAAGAGGGAGAGACCCCTGCTAGGCTTCTGGGAAAGCAAGTGAGTCTCCTGGTGGGGAGGAAACAAGTCCTTTCCGTGGGTCAGGAGGCTTCCTGCAGGCTGCAAGGCTGGAGCTAAAGGCCCTGCCCTCAGCCACCGGAGTTGGGGGGTGAGGGGAAATGCAGACCCTCTGCCTCAGAGACCTCTGGGCCCCAAGACCCACCTCTGTCCTGTGGACCAGCATCCACTTGCCATCGTCTCCCGGCTTATAAAACTCGAGAAATGGGTCTGACTTCCCAAAGAGGTCCTGGGGGAACAAGGGGGTGGGTGATGCAGGTGGGTGAGTGGGCGCTGTGGACAGAGCAGCCCACAGCCTCTCAGAGCAGCCGCCCCTGCCCCTCAGCCTCCCCAGGGCTCAGCATGAGGTATAGGGTAGCTGTGGCCCCCTGGGGCCAAGAGGACCCCCCTCTCCTGAGGGTGCTCAGAAACCAGGGGGTGGGGTGGGGGTTGCTGCCGGCCCTGTAGGAGGCAGAACCCAGGCCCTCAGGTGGGGCAGATCTTCCAGAGGGGGGCTCGTTCTCTGGGCAGGTGAGGCCCCTGCAGGACAGGACTGTCATTTCTGAGTGGGCATCTGGCAAGCCGGAGCTCCGGCCAGCACGTTCCAGAGGAGCTCACAGTCAGGTGGCAGAGACAGAAAAGCCAAGACGCCGGCAATGGCACCGGCACCGTGCTGGAGAAGAGAACCAAGGGAGAGTGGGCGGGGCAGCCGGCACCACTGCCACTCCGGGAAAGGCCCGGCTGAGGTGGTGACCACGCAAAGGCTGCTGGCGATGTCCAGGGCCTCCCTGGGGTATTCTGGGGAAGAGTCCCAGGCAAGGGGACAGGTCCTGGGACAGGAGGGTGCCTGATGTGCTGCAGGGACAATCGGAAGGCGGATTCAGTTAACAGAGTGAGGGGGGCAGATGCAGGGGGCACATCAGGAGGACTCTGCAGGCATCCTGGCACCTCCTCTCAGCGAGAGGAGACAGGAGTGCTTTCCCATCTGATTTGAGTTCCTCTAAGTCACTGGTTCTCAACCTTCCTAATGCCGCGGCCCTTGAATACAGTTCCTCATGTGGTGGTGAACCCCCCCCCCCAACCCATACAATTATTTCTGTTGCTACTTCATCACTGTCATTTTGCTACTGTTATGAATCGGGCAACCCCTGTAAAAGGATTGTGCGACACAACACACACACACACACCCAATGGTCTTGACCCACAGGTTGAGAACCGCTGCTCTAAGTAGTGGGAAGCTCACACCCTCATTGGGGAGGGGGTCCTTGTTTGAGGTGACTAGATGGGCCCTAGAGATGAGGGCCTGTCCCTGGGAGGGTCCATGATGGTGGAGGCTAGAGGCCTGAGGGCTAGGCCACACCACCCTGGGGTGGGGGTGAGGCAGGGTACTGCCCACTGAGGGAGAAGGCTCTTCCCTGCCGCAGGCCCCACCTTCTTATCCAGCTTCCTGCCGGCCAGGCTCAGTGTGATGACCCGGTTGTCTGACAGCTCCTGGGCCGCTATCTGCAAAGGCCAGAAGACTGTGAACGGTTGGGACCTGCTCGAGCCCCACCCACCCCCACCCCCCAAAAGCAAGCAGGCAGGAGGACAAGAGTGGCCCGAGGGGGGCGGGGGAAGGAAGAGGTGGCATCTCTCAGTTTGTCTGTTCTGGAAATTACCTTCTGGATGTGCAGATGACAGGGCCGTGTGAACTGCAAGCATGGAGGGCACGAAGCGCTTACTCATGCAGATCAAAGCCTACAGCCTTCAGCTGGTTTCAGGAGAAACCAGCCTTTCGGCAGGGACGTTATTTGAAGGAAAGCAGATCTGGGAGAAAGGGGAAGACTTCTTCCACGAGATGGATGGGCGCAGTGGCCCCCACGGTGGGCTCAAACACAGCCCCCACGTGAGGACAAGGCAGGGAAGAGCAGTGTCTCCTTCCACTGCACACGGGCCATTCTGAGGCTACCTGACTGCGGGGCACCTACCACTCCCAACAGCACCCCTTTTGTAGATGAGGAACCAGAAGGTGAACCCATATGTCTTAAGATCCCCACGGTTGGGGAGCAGGACCGTAGTCTCGGGGAGCACCACAGCCAATCGGGATAACCTAGTTCACAAAGACAGCATTCTACAACCTACTTCGGTGAGGAGCGAACGGCGTCTTGAAAGCTTAAACACGTAGTGGGACAGACTAACAGACCATGGCAGCATCAGTCTCTACCACCAGAGACCAGAGGCCCTAGATGGTGCCCAGCTACCTCTATGACCTGCTCTGGGTAGGGTCACATGAGTAGGTCCAAGATAGAGCGGGAGTAAAATGGGGTACAGAACTCACCATCATAAATGAAAGTTGGATTGCTAGTCAGATAGTTACTAGTGGGACCCCCCCCCGAAAAAAAATTATGGCCTTTACCCTTAAGGTCAAAGGGCAGCATTTGCCCAAGAACCAAGTTGAGCGCATAAAGAAAGGAGCAACAGAAACAGGAAGCACAGGGGGCAGCCCAGGGAAGGCTTGAACTGAATCAGATTGTGATGCGGTTGAACGTCTCACTGGGATGCGCTCTGCAAAGCTTCACCTCATCCACAATAAAGTTTAATCGGGAAGGAGGAAGCAGGGCTGTGGGGCCATGAGGGGACAGGAAGTTGAGCCCACCTTTGCGTCTTCCCTTTCGGCGTTCCCTTACACGCCAGCGGGGTGACCTCCACGCTGCCACCCTGTCTCTTTCGGGGCTTGTTTCTCCCCTGCCTGCTCCAGCTGAACCTGGCAACCTCCTGGTAAGGCCGGCCCTGCCATGACCCCATTTCAGAGGCGCCCACTGACGGGCCTCAGGTCCAACTCGTGGCAAACCCACGTGGTCAGAGAACAGAGCTTCCTGCGTTTCCAGTGAGGAGCCTGGTGGTGTAGTGAATGTACACTGGCTGCTAACCACAGCTGCTCCGTGGGAGAAAGATGGATGGCCGTTTTGGGAGCGTTGTCAATGGTTATTGTTTGGGAGGATGTAGACTGCCAGGCCTTTCTTCCGAGGCACCCCCAGGTGGACTTGAACGTTTGGTTAGTAGCAGAACATGTTAAGTACTTACTATACCTTGAGTCACAGTCAACTACATGGCAAGGGAGAAGCACAGGCCTAGAGTGTTCCTCCTGTGCTGGGGAGACCCCTCTGGGGGTGGGGGCGTGGGAGGCGGAGGAGGAGGATGGAAGCTGCTTCTGGAGGCATGCTGTGGAAAGAGGCATGGCC